AAAGCAGTTTTTATTGCTATAATGTACTCTTGATATCATTCATACTCACCAAAAGATGTGTAAGATTTTATTATTGTGGAGTGCCTTGTTTATCTCTCAGTACCTCCAACCATAGCCTTGCCCCTTTTATCCTCAGGATTAGTGTAGTTGTTGGAACGAGGTGTCGGACTCAGCAATGTATTTGTTTACATTTTAATACATGTTTATTGTTCCTCCTTTGCTGTGTTGTTTTAGAAAATCGTGGACTAACAGTTTGAAGTCATTGAACTACTTCCAAAAGTTGTATCGACATCAACAGGATTACCATTTCAGTGCAATATGATGCAGGATGACCTTATCACGATAACCCATGATTATAAACCATTATAAACACAGAATCAACAAAAACATTTGCGACACGCACCTGGCGCATGGCTACATATCTCAAATAAATCTGATCGAGGGTGGGGAAATCTGAAATATCTGAAAGGCAAGACAATTTTATGACAGAGTCATGAAATTCTGCAACAGCAAGCTGACTTGCTGCTGACCACAGAGTGACCTCCGTATAAAAAAAAGTATCACCACCACCAGACCACTACTCACATGTCATGTTTCCCCGCAGAAGAACATGCAATTGCATTATGCTAGTGCCATTTTCTGCAAGAAAAGGCTTGCACATCAATGCGTATAATACGGTATTGATATGATGTGAAGGCCATCATTTACATATTGAAAAAGGGCATTCCATTGATTGGTGACAGAAAAAACAAAATAAATTACAGCAATAAAAACTGCTTTATGGCAGTTTTCTAAAAAAAAGTTATTGTGTTCTAGTCCATGGACGGACCCCGTCTAAAAAGTAAGAAATTAACGAAATGTGATAGCCGAAAATTAAAATTTCACACAAAACCTCACAATAATCACACACAGAATGAAAAGCTACATGTACATGTAGAAGACCTTTTCCCCTCGTGATCCTCTTTCCTATGCATGCATGACATGCATGTTGCCAATTGTTGGTGCAGTACAAGTTTAGTGTTGAAAGCAGCATTTCAGGTGTTGTGATTATTGTGAGGTTTTGTGTGAAATTTTAATTTTCGGCTATCACATTTCGTTAATTTTTTACTTTTTAGACGGGTCCGTCCATGGACTAGAACACAATAACTTTTTTTAGAAAACTGCCATAAAGCAGTTTTTATTGCTATAATGCGAAGTGTATCGGGGGATGCATGCAGGGCGCGCGATAGTGCGGGTTCGAATACCAGGTTATGTCTTTAAAAAAAAGGATTTTTTTAAAGAATTTATAACATCCCTATGCTTTTTTTTTGTCTAGGTCATCAAGGCAAAAAAGCATAGCGTACGGCCCTGAGCTTCCAAGCTTTCTCGTTCCCGTAGCTACGCAGAAGACGTTACTTCAGTAACGTCTGACGCTAGCCAGGGTCCACACAGCTTTAATTTCCGTAGCTATGCACAAGACGTTACTTCAGTAACGTCTGGCGCTAGCCAGGGTCCACACAGCTTTTAATTCCCGTAGCTTTGCAGAAGACGTTACTTCAGCAACGTCTGGCGCTAGCCAGGGTCCACACAGCTTTAATTTGGTATTTGTGTATTTGTTCGTTTGTGTGTTTCTGTCACGCCTGGCGCTATCCCGTATCTTTCCCGTACCGTACCGCACCATCAAACATACAATGTAGCTGGCCACATACAGCTGGGAAGGAGCCATACGGGCAGGTTATCTCCTTGCTGCGCTGCCGCCTTGGGTTTGCCCTGGTGCGTTGTGGTGCTATGTGCCTGCGTGGCTCAAGGAGCATGTTTGCTCCTGCCATGCCTGAGTCCCCTGCTGTGCTAGTGGCGGCGGAGGCACGCATCCAGTGAACCTGCACAATGTAGTGATCCTACTGAGTGACAGACTCTGTAAATACTGTATATGATGATTCGTTTTTATATATGTGTTGATTCTTCACAAAATGTGTTATTTTGCCCGTACAAGAGGCTCAGTTTTCCGTGTAAAAAAAAACAAAAAACAAAAAAACATACAGCTGGGCGAAATGCATATTCTCAAGAGTACATAACCCCCCAGAGTGTGCAACTCCCACATTCCCTGTTGTCCCGACAGAATTTCAAGTTGACGTCATTATTTATGACGCAATCCTCCTTGCAGCAGTGATTTACAACATGTGTACGGGTGTCAACGCATCACACGTTTTTCTTTGCAATCATTTGTACAGGATCGGTCGGCTTCGGTCAACCACAGGTTCCGGATTCGTCTGATCATCCGTGTACAGTTTTTTTGTTTTTTTATGTTTATTTGAATTCGGATAGCTCAACAGTACAGAAGTACAACTACAAAGAGTACCGAATAGAAGGCCCCGAGAACGGGAAACCAAAAAAACAACAACAAAAAAACAAAAACAGCAACATCAAGTTACTGATTATGCACATTGCTTGAAAGCAAATCACAACAATGATTAAGAGTTAAGCTGTCTTTTAGCCAAATAGCCAATTTGACGCGGAAATCTGCGATAGTAGTGCAGGACTTCAGGTCGTCTGGTAAATAATTCCAAACAAGAGCCGATTTACTTGAAAAGGACAGAAAGCCAGACATAGATCTATAGCGATTGATACTCATGTTATGAGTTGTAGAGCCGCGAGTAGTTCGGGTAGACGTACAGATGGGAAAGAGGGACTGCAAGCAAACAGCAGCTTAATACAGTAACAGTGGAAAATGAATACAAGGAACAAAAATACTGATCGATATTGGAAAGAGGAAACATTGAGGTGGTGAAGAAGTGGCGTGATATTAGCTTGGGGTGATGCGCCACAAGCAACTCGTACAGCGCGCCGGTGGAGTGAGGCTAGCTTGTTTCTATTTTTAGCGGATATAAACGAAAGGTATACAGGGAGAGCATATTCTAGATCAGGCTGAATAACACCGACAACGAAATTACGGCGGGCAAACAGGTTCATCTGGCGGAAAGATCGACGCAGTACACCGATCTTCCGTGAGGCTTTCCGGACGACATTGTTAATGTGTTGGTCAAAGGACAGCTTATTGTCAACAACGACTCCTAAGCATCTGGTGCTTTCCACTTCCCCTAGCGTAACATTTGACAAGGTGATTTGCAGTTGTTGCCTTTGTTGTTGTTGCTGACTCCCTGTGGCACGTTTGGGATGGATTTGCATGACAACGGTTTTGTCGGTATTTATCTGCATACCAATGGAGCAAAGGTGGTTGTTTAGTATCTCCAGTGCCGATGACAACTTGGCTTCGGAACGCGCCTTCGACGGATCACTAGAGTAGACTGTCTTGTCATCTGCGAACATCAGTAATTTTGAACCAGCTGTCTCCGCAAGCCGGGGAAGGTCCCTCAGGTAGACATTAAAGAGGGTAGGGCCTAAAATACTTCCCTGAGGAACTCCTCGAGACACTGCAAGACTTGAGGACTGGCTGGCTTGCGTGACGACACGCTGAGATCTCCCTGCGAGGTACGACGCAAACCAACGCAGGGCGCTTGCATGAACACCCATGCCATGGAGCGCAATGAGTAACTGTTGATGCTGGACGCGATCAAACGCCTTGCTGAGGTCGACAAAGGCTACACTGGTAGTCTCTCCGCGGTCCTGGGCCAGTTACCAATCATTTACAGCAAGTGTGAGCAGTTGTATCGTGGAACGAGCTGGTCGGAACCCAAATTGGTGATCGTGGAGGTGATTTTCGATGGTCAAACTGTCACATACCTGATTTAGAACCAGGCGTTCCAGAGTCTTAGCCAGAATCGACGTGAGTGACACAGGACGATAGTTCGAAGGAGAAGTAGGATCGCCCATACGGGATTTCAATATCGGCGTGACATTAGCCAACTTGAATTGTGTCGGGACCACAGCAGTGCACAAAGAGGTATTAAATATTAGGGTGAGGGAGAAGGCGATAACTGATGCAACGGCCTTCAGGATGCTCGGGAGGAGACCATCTGGCCCAGACGCTTTCGTACCGTCGAGTTTCTGAAGGTGCCGAAGTACCTCATCCTCAGAAATAGGGCGAAACTCGTGCAAGTCACACGGTCTTGAGGTACCACTTGGAACAACATAAGCCGGGTTCGGATCTGACACAATACTATGGAAATACCTGTTCAAGGTATCTGCCTGGACGAGAGGCTCAGTTCTAGGGTTTGTGCGCCGGGTGACTGAGTTGATGGTGCTCCAAAGACGCCTAGGATCTCGCCGGTAATCGTCACAGATGGAGCGGAAGTGGGCATTTCGGAGTTGGCGATAAAGGTTATTGCATTTGCTGCGCAAAACTTTGAACTCCTTCTGTAGAACCGTACTACTGCAGTCAGACGAGCGGTACTTTCTGTAGACGGTTTTACGTCGCCTAATGAGAGCTAGTAATTCCGGTGTCATGAATGGGCACTTCTTCCTTTTTCCAGGGGATTGCCTCCGTGATATTATGTAGGGTGCAACCACATCCAAGGCGTCTTCAAATTTTCCTTGCCACTCTTCTAGCATTACATCGACCGACGGGGACGAGAAGGATCCGAGATCAGAAATTGACAATAAATGAGAGAGATCAGAGGCAGAGGCCTTACTGTAATCACGGCGGCGGGATCGATATATTTGTCCTTGTGTGGGAATTGACTTCGGAAAAATAATACTGGTGTGAACAAACTCATGATCGGTGAACTCACAGAAGTGAACGCTTCCGTGCTCAACACAATCCATGTTCGTTAGTACACAGTCGAGAAGTGTTTTAGATGTAGGTGTGATCCGTGTTATTATTATTATTATATGCATTCCCGCGGCAGCGTCAACAGTGCAAGTGCAAGTCACCCATGCACAAACACAGTCCACACGTTCGCTTATGCTGGACATGGTAAGAGAAACAGTTGATATAGGAGACATAAAGACAACAAGCACAAACGTAGCTGTAAATCCTTTGTGTATAGAATGTTTAAAGTGTATTGAGCGATATTTCCGTGATCTGGGAAAAAGGTGACGGCGTGGTTTCATCGCCGCAACCTCTACTTGCAGATCATATCCAGTAGCTGCCTCCATTCGCTTCGAACTGCAGCTACGTCTGATAGGCGCTCCAGATCTTCCAGGCTCTGCAATTGCCCGCACGCAGCTCGGTGGAGGTCGTCGTCGAGCTTCACCGGCAGGGTGATGCGAGGGCGGCCTCTCCACTTGTGGTCATCACATTGAAAGTAGCTGACCATGCTTAGGACGGCGGGGGCATCACTGGGAAGTCGAAGGATATGGCCAAATAGCCTCCACCGAGCTCTGGTAATGATGCGGCTGATCGGCTCTGCCTTGCACCTGTCGTAGAGTGCTGTTGTTGCGATCTTCTGCGGCCAGACAAAGCCGATCAGTGAACGGAGCTGGCCGCGGTGGAATGCGTCGAGTCCACCCTCGGCAGCTGCCGTGAGTCCCCATGTGCCGGCGTTGTATACTAGCACTGGTAGTACAAACGCATTGTAGAGACGAAGCCTCAGTTCTTCTCCAACGGTACTGCGCCGGCTCCATAGTGACCAGAGCGATCGAAACGCTGCAGCGGCTAGTTGTTTCCTCCGAGAGACATCCTCGCTATCCCCGAGGAGTGAGCCGAGCTTCTTGGTGGTGCGCCACTGTTCCGCCACCCTGTCCAGGGATCGGCCCAGAACGGTAATTTCTGTTTTATCCGGGTTTACCTTCAGAGCCCATCCGTCGAGGACGTCACCGATAACCGGCTCCAGGTCACCCAAACAGCCAGACTCTGTGCTGATGAAATCCGCGTCGTCGGCGTACGCAATTTCAAACGGCAAGCCGAGATCCGATGATGGCCGAGCCCTGGCAGTAGCAGTGCTCCTTACATCCCGCAAAGCTGCCTCGAGATATACCACAAATAGAACAGGGGACAGGGAATCGCCCTGGGGCGTCCCGATAGTGGTGTCGGCGGATTCGGATGTTGCTGTGCCGATGCGTACACAGAAGGACGTGTTGGCTAGTAGGACACGGATGAGACGGATCTCGTCCTCGTCCAGGAAGGAATTGAGAACTGCCAGTAAACGGTCTCTGCGGATGCAGTCAAATGCTTTTGACATGTCAATGCCGAGGACCACCAATTGCTTCTTGTATTTCTGACAGGCTGCAGCATACCAACGGTGGCTCCAGACCACATCCGCCGTTGACCTGCCTCTGCGGAAACCGCTGTGCGTTGAAGAGAGATATTGTTCTACTTGTGATGATATTCTCTGAAGAGTAATGTGATCCGTGTAGGGTGCGTAATCATATTCTTCAGATCAAGGGGAAGTAGCAGGTATGTGGTCAAATTGTCAAAATGATGCGTTTGAGGGGACAAGAAATCAACATTTAAGTCGCCCATCAGAATGAGATCTTCGCCCTGAATGTCATACATGACTTGCTGTAAAGATTGCCAAAAAGCCGCCGGTGCGGACGGTGGCCTGTAGAGACAGCCAATGAGGAATGATTCACCTGCTTCTCGTTTTTTGGAACGCAACCAAACCATTTCCAGGTCGATGTGCTGAATCAACATCCGCTTAAATCCAAGTTGCAACCTGCTGTAAATCACTACACCGCCGCGCTTTTGGCAAGGTGTTCCATTTGTACAGGAGCAGTTGTAATTGCACTTTCTGTCGAGACGGTGCATTGAGAACCCCCGGATGTCGACTTCTGAGTCCGAGATGCTGTTGTCGAGCCATGTTTCTGATACTGCTAAAATGTCTAAGTTATGGACCCGGACAAGCTTGGACAACACGAAAAGCTTATTTCGCAAACTACAAATATTAATATGACCAATAGATATAGAAGAATATGTAATGCAATGAGGGGAAGGGTGTGATGAACTTGCGGGGGGCACAAAGGGTTGGGCAAGAGGATTTAGATTTGATCTGACTTCAGTCATTGTTTCTCGTCCGTTGAGTAGCGACGCTGGTCTTCTCTGCCTGAAGTGCGATCATCATCGGATTTGAATCTCCAGGGTCGGGCAGAGACGTTTGACGGCCAGAATTCGGGTTTGCTGACTGTATCCATGTCCTTTGCGTCTATCAGCACATGTGCAAAAGCGGTGCCAAAGTATTTGGATTCTGAAATGTTGCATGATACGACCTCAACGTCCCGATCCCTGCACGAATGTACGATTCCATCTGCGTGGCAGCCAGGATTAATCCCTCCCACATATAGAGCTGCATATTTGACGGGCTGGACGCCACAGAGCTGCGACTTCCCTGGTGCAGGGGGGCGGGGTTTTTTGTAGCTGGAGGTGATAGTGCGCCTAAGTGCGGGTTCCGTACTCTTTGGATCTTCCCCTATCTCTGCAGGGGTGCTGGCGCCATGTGAAAGTGGGCCCTGTCTGTCGCGTTCCTGTTGAGTACGGGCACGACGTTCGCGCCTGGTTTGCGCATTGCATCATCAAAATGACGTCAACTTGAAATTCTGTCGGGACAGCACCCATAGTGGAGTTGCACACTCTGGGGGGTTATGTAATCTTGATATTCTAATAGGGCTTTCAAATGCAAGATCATAACGCGAAGCAACTTGGAAGAATTAGTATGTATGCGAAGTGTATGGGGGGATGCATGCAGGGCGATAGTGCGGTTTTGAATCCCAGGTTATGTCTTAAAAAAAAATGAGAAATCTATAAGAATTTATAACATCCCTATGCTTTTTTTGTCTAGGTCATCAAGGCAAAAAAAGCATAGCGAAGGGCCCTGAGCTTCCAAGCTCTCTTGTTTGGTATTTGTGTGTTTGTTTGTTTGTTTGTGTGTTTGTGTCACGCCTGGCGCTATCCCGTATCTGTCCCGTACCGTACTGTACCATCAAACACAGCTGGCCACATACAGCTGGCCGCAATATTCAAATAGGGCTTTCAAACGCAAGATCATAACGTGAAGCAACTTGGAAGAATGAGTATGAATGCGAAGTGTATGGGGGAATGCATGTAGGGCGATAGTGCGGGTTCGAATCCCAGGTAATGCCTGAAAAAAAAAGGAGAATTGAAAAACTTATAACATCCCTATTCTTTTTTTGCCGTCATCAAGGCGGTAGATGGTGTCGTATTACCTTTGTGATCGAATCCATGTGGTCAGTGCATTTTAATCTAGGTTGCTGACATCACAACATCACTTCTTTTCGCCTGTTCATTTCACAACTCCCTGGTTTGAACTTTTCGCCTGTTCATTTCACGACTCCCTGGTTATAACTCTACACCTCCGTCCTTCAAAAGCAATGGCTTTTGCTGGGAGAAGAATCGCACCTCTTTTCGCCTGTTCATTTCACGACTCCCTGGTTTTAACTTTTCGCCTGTTCATTTCACGACTCCCTGGTTTTAACTTTACACCTTTGTCCTTCAAAAGCAATGGCACCAGACTAATTACCACAGATTCTTGTCGAGGTCGACGATGGCTGAGGAACAACCCGACTATGTTGGCATCACAAGCCGAAGAAGACCGAAGCTGGTTAAATCCGTATGGTGTAGTATTGTATAGGTATTTTGTACATCAATGCAGTGACAGACTCACAGTCAAACAAAATTATTATAACAATGGCAGTTCTGTATCACGGGGAGTTGCAGTTCCACTTTTCTCACTGTCACTGCATTGATGTACAAAATACCTATACAATACTACACTATACTGTATTGTACTTTGAAGCAGTCGGTCTGTACTCTGTAGCTGTTCAGCTGTGGGAACATTGCAATGGCGATTCGAAACGTCGGGGGTCCGAACTTCTCGGATCCCAGTTGACGTGCGATGAGTTGTCGTGGCAGCGAAGTGACGGGTTTCGAAATGTGTCCGCGACGAGACGGTTCTCGACGATAATACCTCTTCGAACTGACGCTCGTCGAAATGTCCCGCTCCTAAGTGACGTAGAACCTTATGAACGTGCGCTGAAGGCATTTGTTGTTGTTGTTGTTGTATACTTTATTTATAGTGGAAATCAAAACAGGCAAAATGCCTAATAACATTGGACCCACATTTCATACGGAACCATTTGTCCAAAGAAGATCTAGCTAGTCTTGAGCTCTATTCAAAGTGATGAAGCTGGAAAGGCGATTGTCTTCCCATGATTATTGGTCTAAATTGGTCAAATGTGCTTGTATGGCACACAATGAACACCCAAGCAGGAATACAAACAACTACTGGAATTCGTACATCTGTACAACGTGCACAAGGACCATTGATAAAGTGATCCAGATTCAAGACTGCAACGGCAAGTGTACAGACTCAATAACGATCACAGCAGCAACACTGGTCCCAAGAGGAACGACAGCAGCAACAACGCCAATAAAAGCAACACCAGCGGTAGCGGAAATGCCAGTGGCAGCAGCAACAATCGCAGCAGCAGCAGTAAAACGCATCACAGCCGCACAACCCACTGAGGGAGTGCTCACATTGCGACCAAAGCCGGTGGCCATGCGCAAAAGCAGGTAAGTTGCATGGCAACGGCACACACATGAACTGAACGTCACAGTGAGGTTCCAAATCCTGATTGCGGCCTCAGTGGGGGATGTGAAGTGTGAGCGCACCTCGAGCAGCAGCACAAACCTTACAAACCTGCCCAACCCTCCAAAGCCCCACAATTTGTTGCTGCAAAAACTAAGCAAAATAACCCGTCGTAGTAGCACAACTAGCTGTAGCACCAACCCCTTACAACAACCATTTGCAGAACCTATCCTCACAAAATCAACCCAAATCTCCTCATTAGCAACAGCAGTACATGTAGCAGCAGCATCATCATGTTCAGCTACGGCAACCACAGCGGTACCAGCACAAACAGCTGCAACAGCAGGAACATGACGCGGCTTATGATGTGCATGGTACTATATTATAATGTATACTGCAGTGTACCAAGAATCTTTTCGGACTATCCACTACTGCCGTATGAAAAATCTAAAGATTTCCTAGTGAATTTATTATGCAATACAAGTATACAACTCAAAGAAATCTTTAGAGAACTACAGTACTCACTGGCTAAATGCTACTTTTTTCAAGTCCAAGCATTATGGAATGCACGACATTACTTTACACCCTTTGCTCTTTGTCCATAGATGCGTCACACATGCATTGCCCATGATTGCTATGCTAAACAGAAACATATTGCCCCTGATTTATGCGAAAATATTACGTCTTGATTTTTACGTAATGGCAACACACCTCTGGGAATTTCGTGCCGCGTTGTGTGGCAAGCACCCATACTGCTTTCTTTTGTTGTTTGACAAACGAGAGTGTTGCGGCAACCTACCCACCAAGTGGCTTTAGTGCCAGTTCTACAGTTTTCACTTACCAGCTAGAGAGGATTGATGAATTCTAATGGAAATGACGACGTCCAACAAACATCAGCCGTGTAACTGCGCTTCGCGCAGCTGATCCTCAAACTAAAAATATAGGGGTAGAAGGTATCCCTACGGAGCCGAAAACACCCTTTGATTGCCCTTGACCGGCCTCTGAGACGACGAGGGCCATGTAGAGTCCTCCACAAATTTCGGAAGCTCGGCCATTCCTGAAGGTCTGAAAAGACGACGTCATGGGAGCTTTGTTTCCCGCGGTTGCATATAAAACTGGCCCTTGAGTAGGGCTTGGCGATCCTGCTGCCAGGAGAAACTGGGTCAGCATTTACATTGAAGTAGTAGTAGTAGCAGTAGTAGTAGTAGTAGTAGTAGTAGTAGTAGTAGTAGTAGTAGTAGTAGTAGTAGTAGTAGTAGCAGTAGTATTCTTTTATTTTCCATCGGAAGCCTCAACAGTGATGAACACAACTCTTAAGAGGGCCGATAACAGAGTAGAGGGGCGTGGGGTGAGAAAAAATAATAATAAGAGATATTTAAACTAAACTAAACTGATACTTGATACACAGGTATACAATACAAGCGATGCAGATCAATGAGGCCGTTTGCTGAAAAGAAGATCGAAATACTTCTGAAAAGACGCTGCGTCTTTAAGCATGGTCATAATGGATAAGGCAAGAATTAAAGAGATGTTTTTAAAAACGAATTTAAACTAGGAACGCAGTAAACACAGTTATACAATACAGGCGGCGCAGATCAATGAGGGCGTTTGCTGAAAAGAAGATCAAAATACTTCTGAAA